AAAACCAAAAAAAAATAAAAATAAAAATAATAATAATAATAATAATAATAATAACTTGGTTCTTTCCTAAAGAGACCAATGAATTTTATTTTGTTCTTTTAAGTAGTGTAATATTTTAATTTGTTTTAATATTAATTTGTTTATATATTTGGGTTTGCAAGGGAAGGGGGTTACAGAGTAAAGGAGGGAGAGGGAAAGAAAATGAATGACTATAAATAAATGAGAATGAATACGAGTGTGTGTGCTGTGGTACTCATGTGGCGTTCAGGGGACAATCTGTGGGAGTTGCCTCTCTTCACCATGTGGGTCCTGGGACTAGAACTCAAACTATCAGGTTTGGCAGTGTGCTTCCTTGCCTGTTGAACATCTCCCTGGCTTCTAATTTTCTTTTTTACTGTTTTTGAGTACCTTGCATATACTATGCCCTTAGCCCTGTTTTAATTGTTCTGATTTATCTTCTGTAGGTATGTTTACTCTGCTAATCTTATGCTTTCCTTATGGCAGTAATCCCCCTCATACTGTTTTCTGTTCCTTACTATTGTAAATTAATTTATTGATTAAGCAATGGTGCTATTAAATTCATGCCAAATTTATTTTATTAGTAATATGAAGCCTCATATTATTCTGCTCTCTCTCTCTTTTGCTTTCAAGTTTTTTTTTTTGTATTCTATTGGTTTCAGGTTTTTTTGTTTTTTTTTTTTTTTTGTTTTTTGCTATGAAGAGCTACTTCAAAGTTATATTTGATTTCTTTGCTTTCAAGTTTTTTTTTTGTATTCTATTGGTTTCAGGTTTTTTTGTTTTTTGCTATGAAGAGCTACTTCAAAGTTATATTTGATTTCTTGGATTTTGTTTCCTTGAAAAATGAATCCTTTGCCATTTGTTGTCCTAGTAAATTACTCCATTCTTTTTCCCTTTCTGACGTTTATCTGTATTTGTTTTCCTCTGCTAAAATCACGTGTGTGCATTTATGCCTGTTGTGGGAAAGTCAGAGGACTTTCTTTTACCTGTTTTCATTGATAAGGAATTCCTTTCCTTTCCTTTTAATATCTACATTATCTTTATTTTTTTTTTCCTGAGACAGGGTTTTTTTTGTAGCTTTGGAGCCTGTCCTGGAACTCACTCTATAGACCAGGCTGGCCTCGAACTTACAGATATCTGCTTGTCTCTGCCTCCACCTCCGGAGTGCTGGGATTGAAGGCGTGCACCACCATGACCCAACAATATCTTCACTATCTTACCCTAGTGTGTGTGTGTGTGTGTGTGTATTTTGAGCCCCAGTTTGAAAGCTGGTTGTTACTGGGACACATGAAGAGGGAAGCTAATGGAAGTGGGTAACCAGACAGACAGATGAAATAAAATAGCTTTTAGCTTCTGCCCTCAAATATCCAGTATGGCTATCTTGGGTTTGTTTCACGCACCTATTTTATTCTTGAAGTATTTGTTTTCATTGACACTTCCCCTTTATTGCTTTCCAGTTAGTCCTACATCTTGCATTTTTGGGAGATAATAGTAGAATTTTGTAAACTATTCTGAAACCTCTTTTGGGGGGTGGAAATTGAGTTGGGAAAGACCATAATAACTCATTGTCTTAGCCAGTGTTCTATTGCTATGAAGAGACACCATAACCACAGCAACACTTACAAAGGAAAGCATTTAACTGGGGCTTGTTCACAGTTTCAGAGGTTTAGTCTGTTATCTTCATTACAGGGAGCATGGCAGCTCACAGGCAGACACCATAGCTAAGAATTTTACATCTGGATGTGAAGGCAGCAGGAAGAGACAGACACTGGGCCTGGCCTGAGCATTTAAAACCCCCCAAAACTGCCCCCAATGACATACTTCCTCCAACAAGGCTGCACATCCTAGTCCTGTCAAGGAGCACCGTTCCCTAATAACCAAACATTCATATATATGAGCCTGCGGGGCCATTCCTATTCAATCCACCACCTTCACACAGAACTTTGTTTTCAATTTTGACTATTACACTTCTAAATTTATGGTTAGGGAACTGATATTTTCTTATTATTGGTTGTTCTGATAAAATTTTGATATTTAAATTTTTAAAATTTGTTTTAACAGGTTTTGAAGAAGGGAGTTCCTGTAATATAATTCAGAATTTCTCAGCTTTTGACACAAATGATGTTTTGGATGTTGGTTATCTTCTGTGAGAGGCGCTGTCTTGACCAATTATAGATTATTTAATAGTATCCCTGGTTCTGCCTACCAGTAGCATATTCCTAGAAGCAACTAAAATTATCTTCAGGCATTGCCTAATATTCCCTGGGGAGAAGAGCCATCCACTCCACTCCCTCATCGTTGTTATTTCTAAGCACCCACATCTATAGTTCAGATAGTTCTTTCTTGTGCATTTTGTAAGGATTCTGTCAGATGTAAATGATGTTTAGAATAAACGCTGTAATACACATTTATAATTTATCCTCATTAGAAGTAAGACTTAAAGCCATTTATTTGAATAAAAAGCAGTGGAGTTTTAGAGTTAGAAAACTGTGATGCTAGCATACCTATGTATTTGGCTAGGTAAAGAAATTAGTACTTTTTTGTTTCTTACTGTTTGGTGTCGTGATACAGTAAGTTTACTCTTTTCCCTTTATTAATTAAAACCATGTTTTTAGCCAAGAAAGTGGAAGTAATTCTTATTGGCAATTCAGTTGTTTCTCACTTAGGAGACTGACACTCTCTGGTTCTTAGCTAAATAATTGTCATGGTAAAGTAATTTCCTTCAAGAGGACAGACATTGATTCTGCTCCTGTTACTCACAAATCCTATTTCAGTCAAATTGGAAAACTATTAAGTTTTTGGGAAAAAAATCAATAGGTATCAGGAAACCATTAGATCTTGTGGCCCTTGCTATATCTTGCATGAGTAATCACTGTAAACAGCTGACAGGTGTTTCACTGTTGACACAGAGTGATGCTTAGCAGGACCACATCTTGTCAGAGTAGGTAGAGCGCTTTGGACGGTAGGATGAGTTCAGTTATCCTTGTTTGCCCTGATGCTCATTGTTTTAGACAGCACCATCACTAACTGGGATGGTGATGCTTTGAAAAATCAAATGCTTTCCCTTGCTGTCAGTTTCCTTTTCTTGTATTGCTACACACTAATCAGAATGTGTGGTTTTGTATTAAACCAGTTCCTGTCAAAAACAAATTTTAATTTCTTTCTTTTAAATATTTTTTCTTCAGGTACAAATTTTGTGCCCAGTACTAAGTAATATATGACAATGATTACCACCACAGAACTTGTCATTTTTCTTGTTCTTTTTCTTCTATAAAAATTACAAGTGGATTTGTTTTGGGCAAGTGATTTTTGGAGTTAATGTGTTTTATTTGCTTTTCCTTGGGAGGAATTTATTATTTGTGAACTGTATAATCATATTCAGGAAATTAGAAGACACATCCAATGTATACACAGCTACTGTATCCAAATTGTTTCACAGTATTTATTGGTAAATTATTTTGACATTAATAGAAGCATGATGTTTGACGAGTGCTAAGATTTATTGTTTTTAGAAAAAGGGAGAGGAATATGATGGTTGCAGATCTTAAAAAGTCCTATCACTGTAATTCTCATAAAAAGATTGAAGTATAGGTTTAGTTTGTATGTATGTTTAGCAGCTAATTCCACTGGTGAAAAATAAGACTGATAAAATCATGTTTTGCAATTTGAAGAAATACCTTATTTGATGAATGTTATTATATTATGTATTTTCAGGTGCAGTGGCTTCTATGTTTTGGGTTGATGCTGAATTAGGAAGTGATATTTATCTTGATGGTAAGTTAAAATATTTGTGTTTTTAGGTAAGGTTTATTTTATGGTTTAGCTCATTTTGCTTATATTGCTACACCATTGTTCTTTTCAAACTTGTTTAATTTTTGATGAATCAAGTTTTTGTTGATAGGGATTCTAAAGTCCTAGTCAGTGATAAAACTGCATTTTTAGGAATTGCTCTCAGCTCTGGTTCAAGACTTTTACTCACGCTTTCCTTTCAAAATGGTCTATAGATTGCCTGTATCCTCTGTTCATGGTGCACTTAGTATAAAGGTAGAGCTTTGTAACTAGTCAGGAAGACCCTGGAAAGAGCATATTCCTGCTTTCATTTCTCCTTGCAGATGAGAATTCAGAATGCTGTATGCATACATATACTACTTAACTCTTGTCAGTCTGTATAATTTATAAGCTTTACACCACTTTCTTAGTGTAGCAGCTATATTCACTTTCCCCTGCCATTTCTCCTTTCTTCTCTTTACATTTCTTTAAACCAGTCATGTAGACTGTAGGGTAAGAATCATTGAAGCTGGGTTTCCTTGGGCGTATTATATGTGTGCATCATATAGCTTGTTGAATTTCATAAACATCACACTCTGCTGTTACACTTTTACAATTTGACATAAATTCAGAAATTGCTGAACTAATTGATCTTTTGAGAATTTAAGTACTTGCTATATAAAACAGGTTTGTGGGTTAGGTATACTAGCAGAGGTTGGGAATATAATGCCCTAAATGCTTCAGATTGCCAAGTGGTGGTGGTGCATGCCTTTAATCCTAGCACTCAGGAGGCAGAGACAGGCAGATCTTTGTTAGTTTGAGGCTAGCCTGGTCTACAAAGCTAATTCCAGGACACACTCCAAAGCTACGGAGAAATCCTGTCTAGAAAAACCAGAAAAAGAGATGTCTCAGATTCTTTAAACAATTAATATTTAGAAAAGCTTCATTTTGACTGAAAAGAAAACTTGTCTTGTATTAATTTGTCTTATTTCATTAAATATTATGGAATATATCTTTATTCTTTATTTGGACTTTAAAACATTTAAACACCAAAGAAGTTTTATTTTGTTGCTGGCTTAATTTTTAAATTTTAGAAACAGAGCTAGTCATTATATATATATATAAAACATATCTACTTATTCCCAAGAATTGGTAAGAGAAAAAAATACTTCATTGAATAATATTTATGAACTGAAGGATGTTTTAATTTTCCTTCTCAAATATAGTTGCATAAAGCTGATAACTTTAAGGAGTGACTAACTTGTTTTTTTTTTTTTTTAGGTATCATAACTGTTGTAGATTCAAAATATGGATTAAAAGTAAGTTGAGCAAATATAACTTGCTAATTGTCAAGGAGTAAGAATGGAGGGGTTGGTTGCATTATTTTCTGTTTTTCGAGACAGGGCACTCACTCTGGAGTCCAGGCTGGCCTCGAACTCACAAGATCCACCTGCCTCTGCCTCCCAAGTGCTGGGATTAAAGGCGTGGGCCACCAACGCCTGGCCTGTTTCTGTTAAACTTTTAAGAAGAACCCTTTTTCAAAATAATAGTCAACTGGGCAGTGGTGGCGCATACCTTTAATCCCAGCGCTCAGAGGGCAGAGGCAGGCAGATCTTTGTGAGTTCAAGGCCAGCCTGGTCTACAAAGCTACACAGAGAAACCCTGTCTCGAAAAAAACAAATATACATACAAACATTCATACATACATACATACATACATAAAATAATCAGCTTAATAAAATATATGAGATTTTAGTTTTGTGAAGAACTGTTAGCAAACACAAACTATAAATTAGCTTTTTAAACAAAATACTGACCTATTTAATTTTGAAGAAATAAAATCAGTGCATAATAAGAAGAGGTTCTTCATTAAATGATACGACTGCTGAGGTCTTCAAGTGTATTTCTTTAGCTTCAACACTCAAATGCTTATTGCTGCATAAGGTAAAATAGCACTTCCCAGTAATTCAATGGAAGCTGGTGTAGTGGTGCACACCTTTTGTCTGGGAATTGGGAGGTAGAGACAGTGGATGTCAGTGAGTTGGAGGACAGCTTAATATACGTAATGAATTCCAGGCTAGCCAGTGAGAATGTAGTGAGAATCTGGTGCAGAAAACCAACAAAATTTCTTGGGAGTTAAAAATCAGTGTTTAAACATTGGTTGAGTATTTTACCCCTTGATGTTTCTAAACTTAATTTTTATGTTGCTCTTTCTTCCAAATCTTCAATGAAATTATGTTGTGGAAAAATTTGTCAGGTCTGTTCAAATGGCTATCAGTCTACTTTACTGACCCTTTGTACCCCAATTTGAGTACTCTAATTTGAGACATTTCAATCCTGTTCTAGAGTTTACAGTCTAAACGTACAAACAGAATAGGACTCAAAGAAAGATTGCAAATATTATAGTTTTATTCAGAAAAAGTCTAATGGTGTGCTCTCTCTCTCTCTCTCTCTCTCTCTCTCTCTCTCTCTCTCTCTGTGTGTGTGTGTGTGTGTGTGTGTGTAAGTCCTACTGTTTAGCTTATGCAATCCTGAACCCAGGCTATCCTCAAACTCATAATCCTTATCCTACATCTCCTGAGTACTAGGATTATAGTTGTGGTTCACCACACCTTGCTTAATGGGTTTCTTCTTTAAAAAAAAGTTGTAATTTGTTTAAAAAAAAATTTTAACATAGATTTAACTATAGGCATTCAGAGCTGGTGTAAGAGGGAGGGAGGAAAAGGAAGGGAGGGAAAGAAAGAGAAACAGACTTCTCAGCAGAAAAATAATCATGTTAATGGTTATTTTCAAATCATATTTCAAGAAATGTGAATGGCGATAGTAAAAAAAAAAAAAAACACTAGAAAACTTAATGTTTCTGATTTTGAACATTTTTTATAGGCATGTTTGAATTAATTCCCTCTGTAAGTTGTTTCACAAATTTAGGGTACATAAGATAGCAGCTAGGACATTCATGCTTTTTTATATAGATTTAGCATGCTTTACCCAAAGTCAAACTAGTGTTTTGTGTTTAAAGAAATAGTTTTATATCTATAGTTAGATATAGAGAGGAATTAAATAGAATCTTTTACTGGCATGATGGAGACCCCAAAACAAAGCAATGTTCTAAATAATGCAAACATAGTATATGTTTAACCCCTTGCCACCTTGATAAAACCTCTTAAATTATTAAATCAATATACCTACACAAAACTGACATACTGTCAGGATAATGGAAACTTTAGATTTTCCAAGTCAGATGTCAGATAAATAACTTTGCCTTTATATAAAGAATTTGCCAACTTGTCCAATTCCTCTGGTTGCAAAGCTTGACCTCAGTAGCTGCTTGTGATTCAGAGAATTCTGAGGCAGTACAAGTAATGACAGTTGGATAATGGGCAGCAATTTAAGGGTGTCATGCTTCACAGAGCCAGCCCATCACAAGTAAAGCTGAGAAATGGTACCCTGTGGCCAGCCAGCCAAATTGAAACTGAAGTGGTAATTGATATCATGGGTTATCACTCTAATGGGATTGTCACCCATTGATCTGAAATATTCATTTTTTAATCATGGGCAAAGAATTGGACAACTTAAAATGACAGCTCTCTATTCTCAAGGCTTGACACCTAGGCACTGACATTGTTCTTTTCAGTTGTACAAATGTGACAGCATTTAATGCAATAGAATCAATGAATGAAGTTTACACATAAAAGGTCAAGTAAGAGGTTTTCTTTTTGAGTCTTCTGTTGTATTGCACAAGCTATTGAAACAGTTCAGTCAGAAATCACTTTGGCTTGGAAAAGTCCAGAAAAATAAATAGACTGACATTATGCGATAATTTTTTTTCAAAGCTGAAACTACTTTAGATCTCTAACCAGTCCTTGTTTAAAAAAAAAAAAAAAAAGCTGCTAATTCTCTCCTTTTTCTTTGTCTGATGGCTGACATCTTTGGCATTGGATTTGTTTCCACTGTGGTCAGCACAGTTCTTTCTTAGTTAATTAATTTTTAGACCATTTTGATTTATTTTCTTTGTTTGCTTGTGGTTTTTTTTTTTCTTCTTTCTTTCCTCGCAGGAAAGAACTCCTGTAGCCCTTCTTGAAGTTGTAACTATCGTAGTAATTTATTTTGAATGATTTTTTTTGTTCCTTAATTTTATTGAGCCATACTCATAAATAAAAATTGTGTAGATTTAAGGTATACAATTTGCTACTCTGATCTGTCTGTGTATATGTTCTAAAGACGCTGTGAAACAACCAAATACCAACCTTGCCCATCTACTTACATAGCTAACAGTTTTTGTTAGCATATAGGGTGAGATCATTCTGGAAATTTCTATTACCCCATCCCATAGTACTAATTATTATTGCCATGCTATAATTAGCTTTCCAGAATAAATTTCCAGAATTTATTCCTCCTGAGAAACTAGAACTGTGTGAACATTGGCCACCATCTCACCTCCTTGTTTTGTTTGTCTTTGAATGGGAGTTTGCTCTTTGAATGTGCTGGTTTGTTGGGTTCCTTAGCACTAAAGTTATTATTGCCTCTTTTGAAATATAAACAAAAGCTATAGTCTTCAGCAGAGATGAGGAATTCCTTGGAGATAGGTTGTTTTTGTTTTTTTTTTTTTAACTTTTAGAAAACTTTTTATTGTATGCCTGTATAGGTAGAATAGAATATCAAAATTTAAATTTTTGTTCTTATTTTATAAATGGAAGTCTGACTTATGACCAAATATCTTCTGAATAGCAAACAAGGTTTTGATATTTTTGCTAAGCTTGGCTTGGGGAGGTAGGACTTTCATAAGGATAATGTAGGGCTGATACTCAGAAAAATAAGTGTTAGTATACATTTACTACTTTTCATATTTTGAAAGCTTTCATATGTGCATAGACAGGACATTTATCTCTTTTTCTAGGATCATCACATGTACTTGTAATCAGATTGTACATATTGACAGTCTTTTATTTTGGGAGATTTTAAGTTATTTTTGTTTTTAATCTCTTATCTGTCCAAAGATAATCAAATGTTAGTCTGCCCTGTTTAGCTCTGATTGAAAATTTATCTTGGATAAATGACTCAAAACATTGCAAGTTGTTTTGTGAAACTGCCAGGTTTTTTTTAAAAATTACTTTTAAGAAAAATTTTAAAGTCATTAATTTTAATATCTTTTTTACATGTTATATAGTCACAATCAGATAGATCTATTGATATGCATGCAATGAAGCTTCCAGTAGAGCATCTTCAAAAATATTTCAGTTTTAAGGATTATTGTATAGGATCATCCAGATGCAGATTCATCACTTTTGACTGCTCAGTGGAAAGAGATGTGTTGCTATATGTTTTATACCATTTTTCAAATAATCAGATTTATGTGTCTATGTCAGCAAATAGGATTGTTATCTACAGTTCATTTATAGACTGTTCTAGGCCCTGATGATAGTTTTATTCTCTAGATGCAGAGTATATCATACTAAATAGATTTATTAACAATAAGAATCCATGAATAATTGTGAAAACATGAATATTAAATTTGGTCTTTTGTCATGGAGTAAGTATTGATACAATACACTCTGTTCTATGATCTCTGTAACTGGGAAGTAAGTATGTGGTTGAATTTATAAAATTGTATAAATGAAATAACTATGTCATTGTTATGATTTTGGTTCTTTTTTGGTTCTGTTGTACCTAATTGGTATTTGGTAAACTTTTTGAATAAAAAAGGATCAGTTTTTTACTCTTAACCAAGTCTATTAAATAATCATCAGTATGTCTTAAATTCTAAGCTGTAGTAGTCATCTCCCCATGAATTGTGAAACTAGCCTGACAAAATATGATGTAATTTGTACATAATTCTACATATATTCTTATGTAATTATTAAGTAGCATTCTATGTAAGACTGGTTGTACATGGCATAACAGCTTTTAAAAAAGATTTTAAATTGTGTTCACTTTACTTCTATTAAGTATGCTTGTAATAAAAAATAATACCGTGGTAGTATGAAATTATTTTTGATTGCGAGCTTACCCTTTAATGGCTAAGCCATCTCTCCAACCCAAAAATTAAATAATTTATAAAATTTGATTAGAATGTAAAATACTAGTGTCTAGTTGTCTATAGTTCTGAGTAGCCAGCCTTTTGTTGTGATAGGGAGTCTCTGTTGAGAGGTAAGGTGATAAGGTTGAAAACATGAATTTGCAGAAGACAACCCCTGTAACCCTTATGGCATAGATGACTTAAGGATATAAATAGTGTTGAGAGAGGGGCTGCTTCTGGAGGTGAAAATACCTCATGGCCTTTTAAGTCAATTATAATAACTAACTAAATCTTTCTACATTTGTATTTAGAAATAGATCATTAAGGTTTTTTTTTTTTTTAAGGTAGCTTTAAAGGAAAATCCTTTGTTGACATTAGATTTTTATATTGTATTATAGTAATTATTTTAAAATTTTGTTTTGTTCAGCATTTAACTGAAGAAAAACCCAATGGCCTTGTCAATGAAGCTACGAGGTATTCAAATTTAAAGCTTACATTGTTGCTAGCTAGCCAGATAGAAGAAGATAAGTAACATAAAAACAAAATGATAAGGACTAAAAAAAATATGAAGATAGTTAAGGCAAGCTTATTTTCTTTTCCTCCCACACATTATTGCTGACTACCCATCATGGACTCATGTCTAGCATTTTATTTAAAGCATTTATATTGTGGGATAAAATGAGTGGTGGACACAGGACTTAGTTGATTTGATGAACTTAGAAGATTTTAGCATTTAGAAGCATTTGACTCTCATGCTGCTTCTTTGCAATTGAAGAGAGTTGTTTTGCTCCCTTAGAAATTGCCTCAGTCCTCCCTGTTACTAAGTACAGAGGAGCAAATACTGAAATACTTTTGACTTGTCATTTAAAGCAATTTTAAGTACTTTTATGTTCTTAATTGTTTTGTCTGTAAATTTACAAGTATTTAAATCAGTTTCCCTATCCTAAGCAAATTTTTACCAATGGGATGAAGGTTTTGAAACCAAACATGCTCCTGGGTTTAAGAATGAGGCCTCCTGGGATTTGCTACAAATGATCTCAGCACAGGAAATTAGGATTACAAGCAAATGATTCCTTGTAATCGTGGAGTTTGATGATTGAATTATTTTGTAGCCCTTCCTAAATATTGTGTTGTTATGTACTTGTGATTTAAATAAAATGAATTTAAATATGATTGTGCGCGCACACACCATGAATTAAAAATTATTCTCTGATTAAAAACTCTGAAGGTGGGCTGAGTGATGGCTCAGTGCTTAAGAGCACTGGCTGTTCTTCCAGAGGTCCTGAGTTCAATTCCCAGTAACCACATGGTGGCTCACATGTATATCTGGTGTCCTCTTCTGGCCTGCAGGGATACATACAGACAGAACACTGTATACATAATAAATAAATAAATAAATAAATAAATAAATAAATAAATCTTTTTAAAAAAATCTCTGGAGGCTTATCTTTATAGAATCAGTAACAAATAAGTTTTGGATGAGCTTACATAGTGGCATATGAAATTCTTCTGTAGAATGAGTAGATTGGGAGTAAACTGAAGCCAAGCTAGTTCTTATTTGAAATGTTGACTTAAATATCATGATTTCTTAACATTTTTCTTCTGACATTTGTTCTTTGCTGTTTTAGGCAAGTTGCTTTGGCAGACATGATTCTTATCAATAAAACAGACTTGGTTTCAGAAGAGGAGCTAAACAAATTAGCTGCAACTATCAGGTACAGTAGATAGTACTTGACTATTGTATTTAAAAGCAGAAGAAAGAATGTTGGAGGAGATAGATTTGTTTACCTAAGTGTGACTGTATGTGTATTGAGATGTCACATGGCACCCCCTTTATGTACAGTTTTTAAATATCAATTAAAAAATAAACCTAAATTCTTTTTTTTTTTTTTTTTTACTTTTTTTGTCGGGGCGTGTTTCGAGGCAGGGTTTCTCTGTGGCTTTGAAGACTGTCCTTGTAGACCAGGCTGGTCTTGAACTCAGAGATCTACCTGCCTCTGCCTCCTGAGTGCTGGATTAAAGGCGTGCACCACCACCACCTGGCTTCTAAATTCATTTTTAAAAAACAATGAAAATTATTTTAAATGCCTTCAAACCTAAATTTTAATATGTAAAATATTTTTGCCATGGCTATTGTTCTAAAGGAAAATAAGATTCAAGGTTGACTTGCTTCAAAGATCATTAAGGAATCACATATATTGTTCTTGACTAATTGACTGTTAAATAAATAGAAATATATATGAAATAATTCACCAGTGCTTGCAAAACAAAATTCAGAATTTTTAATCTGATATTCTAGGTCCACCAACTCCCTTTATAAGTTTTCATTTCCTGTGTGTTCTTTGACTCTTTCCTAAGGTCAAGCCTCCTTAACTCCCTAAGACAGTTAATTCACTTTTTTATGTATATATCTTACCAGGTCCCACCTACTCACAATATTTTCTCACTTGCCAGTTTCTGAGTCCATCCCCTCCTTTATAATATATAATATTATATATTTTCATCTGTAGAGCCTATTTTCTCTTTTTCTTCCATTCCTTAATGAAGTCTTCCTTCATCAAATAATGTCACTTCCCTTCAACCCTCCTTGATTTTAATAGTTTCCTTAATTATCAACTCTGCTTTGTCTTCCAGCTTGCTTTATGTCTACATTGTCTATTTGCATGGCTAATCAAAATAGAATAGTATGGATGATACTGTTACTAATAAATAATATAACAGTCATTTTGCTGGCTCGTTTGGAGAGTCACATTCCCTTTGAAACCAAAGGTTTCAAATAAGGGTAAAATCCAGGGACTCTGTCTTGAAATATTTTGTAAGACCTAAATTAAACACTACCATATATTTCAGTAACTTTCCTTATTGGTCACTTTTAGTGTTTATAGAGTTTTTTTTTAATATAATGGATCAGCATTACCATATCTGATCAAATTTCTGTTGACCTTACATGTTGTCTGTAGTAACACTAGTTAATATAGTATATGCTATAAAACTGAATAAAAATATATAACTAATTAAGAGGTCATTTGTAGTGATTATGATTACAAGAGAAAGAAATTCATACTTTTTCCTCTATTTTTCTCTTATTTTAATAATAATATCTTTAGGTTTTATTATGAAAAGTAATGTCTCCTGTAGAAGGCAGATAATATTGCATAGTGTTTAAGGATATGGAGTTGAAGTCTGCTTTGGTTGCAATCCTTGATCTGTTTCTCGACGTTTTTAGGGGTTTATTTAAGCTTCTTAAACATCATCTTCAAAACAAGAATAAAACCTATCTTATAAGTTTTCTTTAAGTAGTACATGAGCCCTGTGGAATTGATGGTGAACCATGCCCAGTGCCTGATACTTAGTGAGTGCTTCCTGAGCAGTTATTATAGGGGAGAGTTGCAAAGAGAAGATTAAGACTCTTGTTAAGTAGTCCAAAAGCAAGGCTTACCTCAGAATCATTGCATACAGGAAGGCTTATCCATGAGAACATATCCAACAAGCAGCACATATTTTAGCTATGTATTAGTAAAGAAAAGAGGATTAATGCTACAAAAATACATAGGTGTTCACAGTATTTAAAGGAATTAAAGTATCTTTTATGGCATACAAAGGGAACCTTTTTTCCTTTATTTTTTGTATTTTGCATTCACCATTTCTACAATGTGTATGTGTTAAAACTGGCTATCATGCAAAAGTTTTGAGTATACAAGAACATTAGGAATCCCTGCTACTTACGAATCATCTTTTTCCTTCCTTTTTTTTTTTTTTTTTGCAAGAACTGTACCACTGAGCCATATCATTAACTTTTTCCTAAAATAAAGGACCTTTTATACCTAGTCATAGTCACAGTCACAGTCATACCTAGCCTTCCAGCTGTGTGATAGATTTTGAGCAACAAGTTTTCTTAAATGCACAACTAGATTGTGCCAGATTTGTGGTTTGAAGGGAAAGAATTCTAAGCCATTAAAAAGGAACATGCAAGTTTGTTTCCCATTTTCAATTTTTACTAGTTCTGGTTACACTAGTTTGTGTCTGTTTGTTTTAGGAATAATTGATTTTGTATGCTTTTTTTAAAAGTTATTATTTACTTTTTAACCCTCCCCTTTTGTATCTTATTTCAGATCAATAAATGGACTGGGAAAAATTTTAGAAACTCAAAGATCAAGGTACTTTTTAAAGTTATTACTGGAGGTATATGTCAGTTAGGAGATTGTTTCCTAATGTGTATAAGGCCCTGGAGTTGACCACAGCACTGAATAAACTGTGCATAGTACATGTGCCTATAATCTCAGCACTTTGGTTGTATAGCCAGGAAATTAGAAGTTCAAGGTCATCCTTGAACTATGTAGGAAGGCAAGGATAGGTTGGGCTACATGGGGTGGGATGAGTGAGGAAGAAAAGGGAAATAAAACCTATTACTAGCGTTTAGTTATTAAAAATTGATAAGTGACTTAATTATGATATAGTGACATAGGTGCATTAAAGTAACACCTAAATATCTTCTTAATGCTGTATATGGATTTGTTTGCCATATTTAGTTAGTACCTTTGCTAAGAACTAAAGTGCTATGATATATAAATCTGAAAACCTATTCAGGAATCTTAATTTAAGGCCTTTAATTGAGTTTTTAATTCTTTAAAGCCTTAATGTTGCAAAAAAATGTAGTAAGAATACATAGTTTTCATGTTTAAGTTCTTAATGCATCCCTTTATTTACATCTTCTATAGCTTCTTATAGTTCTGTTCATAAAGATGTGCATAATCTTCTGAAATAGTTGTGAACTGTACTTTTGTAGATTGAACTATTTTCCATTGAATGTTGTCATGATTTCAGAAAACTTCAGCGAAAGGACATTTTGTTAAGCTCATGTTGGGGACAAGAATGGTTTAGTAGACCCTTCTGAGACTCACAGCTGCCAGTCTAGTGCCACCCAGCCTCTAACTGAGTCTCTTGCTGCAATAGCAAAGATTAGAGGTGCTGACAGACTGACAAAAGTGTGAGACAGTAATAGCAGCAGCTGCTCTGAGCATGTGTGCAGCTGGAGAATGAATTTGGTATGCACTTTCAGGAACCACAAATGCCCACTACAGGCATCGTGCAAGCAAATGTGCTCCCAGAGTTTTCACCTCTGCTGTAGAAACAAGATAATCTAACACATACTCTGAGCCATTCCTCAGTAGGTCTTCTTCCTCTCACAGTCTTTATTTGTTTTCTCCCTGATTTCCTTTCTTTTATAAATGACAGGCATCTCCATAACACTTAAATTAGCTTTTAAGAATCATACCTATCAGTAGCTGTGTTTCTGTAGTGACAGCATGTATTCAGTTCTTATTGTCTTTACTTCTACTTTGAAATTGTCCATGTTCTAAGTAAAGTTCCCCCTTGCCTAGCCTGTTATGTAATGGTTTCGTTTGTCGTGTATTTTAACATTTGCTCTCTTATAAGACTATTAATTTATACAGTGTTTGTTACTTAAGGATGAGGGTGCAAGTGAAGAAAATCTTTATCTTCTCATTCTTCATTAACTGCTGTTGGCAGTGGATGTCCAACTTGGAAATAACATGTCCTTGCTGGGAACACTGGACTTGAGTTAGAGACCTTTTCCATAACCATCAGCTATAATTAGGAGTCTTACTATTGGGTCATGAATCTTATATTAAGTATTTCCCCAAATTCCTTGAGATATATGACAACTTGGGCTTCCCAGTTTAGACTAGAGATTTAGCTCTTAGCAAAATAATTGGAGTCATTATTTTTAGCATTTTATTTATTTATTTATTTATTTATTTATTTATTTATTTATTTATTTGTTTTTCGAGACAGGGTTTCTCTGTGGCTTTGTAGACTGTCCTGGAACTAGCTCTTGTAGACCAGGCTGGTCTCGAACTCACAGAGATCCACCTGCCTCTGCCTCCCGAGTGCTGGGATTAAAGGCATGCGCCACCAATACCTGGCTTATTTTTAGCATTTTAATCCCAATAGTATTTTGAAGTTGACAAAAGCTGGCAAAAGTAAAAGTATTATAGGCATGCATAAGCAGAGACTCACCTTGACTTTGTAAAATGGGAGTAAGAATTATGTGTGGTGTTGTCTTACTAGCAAGGTTTAAGCGAATTGTCAGGCAAACACAAGTTTTAAGGGATTGCATAGATTTCTGAAGTAGGAGAGGATGTTAGAAGGCGTGCATTCTTTTTTTTTTTAAGATTTTATTTATTTATTATGTAAACAACATTCTGCTTCCATGTATATCTGCACACCAGAAGAGGGCACCAGACTTCATAACGGATGGTTGTGAGCCACCATGTGGTTGCTGGGAATTGAACTCAGGACCTCTGGAAGAGCAGTCAGTGCTCTTAACCTCTGAGCCATCTCTCCAGCCCCGAAGGTGTGCATTCTTATCTTTTCTGGACTTTTACAATTTTAGAGGTCCAGGTAAATTGAATAGAGGAAAATCAAAATGTCCATAAGTTAACCATTTCAGTTTTCCATTGGTTCTAGGCATTGCAGGGTGGGTTTAGGAGTTAAGCAACGGATAAGACAAAAGTACTTTGAAGGCATTGGATTGGTCAGTCATTTGGGGAAAACTGAGAAGTGAACAAGCAAAAAGCAGCACCTTACCTTGGATATTCTTTTTTTCTTTTTTTTGAGACAGGGTTTCTCTGTGGCTTTGGAGGCTGTCCTGGAACTAGCTTTTGTAGACCAGGCTGTGGATATTCTTAATATATCACAATTGAAATATTGTGATATTCTATAGACTATTAGAAATATTGACTCCACAGCATTCTGTAAGTATAAGAAGGCAGAGAAATGACCATTCAAATTTTCTTGATGAAGAGTCGGGAAAATTTAACTAGGAAAATAATTTGATTAGAGTCTTAAACAGTGAATGGATGTTTTTCCAGATCATCTGGAGTACAGGTGATTTTTCTAGGTGTACAGAAGCCTTAATATTTCAGGGATAATATTTTAGAATGACTGATGAGGACACCTGGCTGCATGTAGCTGAGAGGAAGATATATGAGTCTTCCACAAAGGACCAAGAATGCCATGATAAATAGCAAAGGGTAATGAGAACATTTGGAAATTTAGTGCTAGAGGTTAGCACCAAGCTTTTGGAAATAACAGCAACTGTGTAGACCTGGTGAACCCTGTGGAGAGACTCATTGAATTTGAAAAGATGGTTATTAGGCAATCTTCCCTAAAGTTGCAGCTACAGGCTGTATAAAACAGGAGAAGAATGAACTTTTGAAGATTTATTTTCCTATTTAATTTAAAATGATAGTAGTCTTTTGATCTTATTGTTTGAATGTCTTGGAAAATATCTGATACTTTATTTCTGAAGGGAGAAATTAAATGAACACATTCAATGCCATGGAAAATTTTTCTAGACATGTTTTAAATGAGTACAGCCTTTCTTTTCCAAAGCAGTGCTGGTTTGGGGAAAAGCTCATAAAAACTTCCACGTGGGAGCTCATGCCTTACCCTCTTATACTGACCACTGAGAATTTGGCGAGACTCCCATTCTTTGTGGTTATTCTGTTGTTAGTCTTTTCATTTTTAGAGGTACATAAAGGATGTGCTATAAAGCAGAGTTATCTCTAAGTGACAGTGTTCTCAAGAACATGGTCACAGTGGGGCAGTGGTGTGTTCAGAAGGGTTTTTTTTTACACAAAACTGGATATTTACAGAATTGGTAATACAGACTTTTCTTTAAACTGCTGAAGTGAAGATGGTAAATTTGTGTGGTTTCAACCTGTCTTTACAAATAAATATCTGTTTAACTGTTAAGATGGAAAAGGAAGTATGCTTAATGCTAGGATTTTGATCTCTTAGTGTAAATTGATATTCATATTTCTTCATTCTCAGAACATCTGAGAATGTCCAATATTCAAAGTATTGATATAGTATATTAAACATAGAATTGTGGTATTTGTTGTTTAATAAGATGGGAATTTGTTTGTCTGTGCCAAGATAAAGCATTCATAATCTCATAGAATGCTGTCCCGAGTGTGTGGCTGCTTGCTGCAAGCGAACAAGGCAGGCACAGCTGGCCAGTCCTGAACTAAAGGAGGTGTTTTATCTTACATTTGTATGCTTAATCAGACATTTTGAATGTGACAAATGAACTTTTGTTTTCCTTGTTAAAAAAGACATTTAGAAATGTCTGACAAGCTGCTTGGGTCTAGTGTTAAATTGTAATTGTACTTTTGATGTAGTTTTTTTTCTTTTAAATATTCCCTTTATTTTAGTTTAATTTTGAAGTAATTGTTCTCTGCTCTTTTGTGGACTTATGTTAAAACTAAAAATCAATCATCAATTTTTGTAAATTTTTACCTCTCTCTGTATTTAAACCAAACCAAGTGTTGGTTGAGGTCGGTTCCTTCCTTCCTTCCTTCCTTTTCTTTTCTTTTCTTTTCTTTTCTTTTCTTTTTTCTTTGTTTGGTTTTTCGAGACAGGGTTTCCTTGTGTAGCTTTAGAGCCTGTCCTGGAACTGATCTTGTAGATCAGGCTGGTCTCGAACTCACAGAGATCTTCGTGTGTCTGCCTCCCAAGTGCTGGGATTAAAGGTGTGCTCCACCAATGCCCTTTGAGGTCAGTTTTTAGTGATTTGAATTACTGCATTCCTAATGAGGTTCGTTCATCACTAATCTTCAGAGAAAGCATTTGTTCTGACAGCATTGTGAACTGGGAAGCTTTACCCTACTTATGCTCTCATTCTGAACAAATAAAATCAAGCGTGTAGCTCCAGAAGGAGCTAGTATTAATACACACCCTGGTGGTTCGACTCCTTTTGGTTTTATTTATTATCTTTTTATTTTTTGGTATTTAGGATTGATTAGTGTTAGTATTCCAGAGCCTTACACATGCTCTGTCCAGATGCTGTACTTCCAGCCCCAGAGCCCCAGAGTTCTAATATTGCCCCTTCCTCAGCCCTCCCCACCCCCGCAGCTGTTCTGAAATTCATTATGTAGACCAGGCTGGCCTCGAACTCACAGACATACAAACTGCCTTTGCCTCCCAAGTACTGGGATAAAAGGTGTGCACCATCATGCTCAGCTTTAGAGTCCTAGCATTTTTTTTTTTTTTAGAATTTAGTTTTTTTTTTTTTTTTTATGTACATTGGTGTTTTGTCTGCATGTATGTCTGTCTGAGGATGTTGAATACCCTGGAACAGGAGGTATATATAGTTGTGAGCCATCATGTGGCTGCTGAGAATTGAACCCAGGTCCTCTGGAAGAACAGCCAGTGCTCTTAATAGCTGAGCCTATTATATTTATATTATTTTTCTCTGGGCCTAGTATTTTTAGATTACCTATTTTATCATAGAGAAGATGTGAAAGAATTAGGAAAATCCCAAAGACATTTGGAATGTGTGTAAACTACTGTCTATTTGTTACTTTTATTTCACATTTCAGGTAATACCTGTTTAGAAAAGGTTATTTAGGTAATCTCTTACTCTGAAAATATTTTAAAGCATACAGAATTATAATTGAAGGACAATCAGAAGTATAAAGGAAACTTTTTTTGAAGCAGTAACAAGTGATTTGTGTGTGTGTGTGTGTGTGTGTGTGTGTGTGTGTTTGTGTTTGCGCATGCTTGATCTTTACCATTTAGCTACTTTTAGGAATTTTAGGTAGAATTCACTCACCGTATTTCTTTTTTTCCTTGCCTATATGCTGGTTTTCAAAAAGATGTAATTTTATTTTGTGTGTATGATTATTCTGCCTGCACATATGTATGTGCATACCCAGGGAGGTCAGAAATGTGCATCAGATCACTGAAGCTGGGGATCCAGGCAGTTGTGAGCCACCAAGAAGGTGCTGAGAACCAAACCCAGGTCCTCTCTCTCCAGACCCAAGACTGGAGTTTTTACATATTTAATTATGTAATCTCTGTGTTTACATATCTTGATAAAAGATCTTTAGAGATTTTTCTTTTTGAGACAGGTTTTCATATAGCCCAGGCTGTCCTTGAACTCACTATGTAGCCAAGGGTGTCCTTGAGCTAAATGCTGAAGGTTGTTCTTGTCCTAAATGCTGAGATTTTAGAACTGTGTCACTGTGTCCAATTTGAAATTTTATTCTTGATCAATTGGATGTATTTCACAGAATTTTCAACTGTTTGAATATATTTCCTTCCTTTCAGAGTTCATCTCTCAAATATATTAGATCTCCATGCCTATGATACTCTCACTGGAATAAGGTATGTTTTCAATATTTTGGTCATTTTTTTAATGTAATGTGTTTTATTCCTGTTTCCCATTAGTTAAGATGCCACTTGACATACAAGTTTGTTTTTTGTTTTGTTTTCTGAATAAAAAGAAAGTCTCATTTTGTAGCCCAGGCTGGCCTTTAAATTGTGTCCCTCTGACATGGATGAGGACAGTCATGTCTGCTAAGATTTATTTGTCTAGATGCCTGTGATCCTCTGCCTCAGCCTCCCAAGTATTGAGATCAAAGTATGTACTACCACACTTGGCTCACAAGATCATTTTAATTATGATCATGAAAGCTGTATCTATAGAAATTATAATGTAAATGATAACTAAGCTTGGAAACTCA